TTATATATAATTAGACAATGTCTGGAAGCAGGACCTGTGGGTACTACCATTCTTGGGACTCTTGGGTTTACTTTTCCATTGGTAGTCATTGGTCTCTCTTTTGTGATGATGTTTGTGATTGTGACCCCTTAGTGGTGTGAGGGAACTGCTATTCCAAGGGCTTTTAAGATTCAGGGTCTTGGGCTGTTTCCATCAGAGTCCGAGAGGAAGTGGTATTTAACTTATCTGGTACATACTATCTTCTATCTCTTCCTCTGGGTAGTTTTTTTCTAAAGCTAGTCTGGCTTGCCAGCCCCATTAAATTTTTGAAGACTCTCTGACATTTCTGTAGGGCTCCAGAGAGCAAACATAAGCAATCTGTGTTCAGTCTTTCCTGGATTCATATCTTAGATTTCTCAGTCAAATTTCATCATAAACTTGTTGTGGTAAAAGGACCATGTAATTGCTTATAAGTAAGCTAGTAGAAACTTTATTAAAGCAATATAGAAGATAAAGAAACATATGTGCCCACAAGAGGACTCCTTTAAGAAGCATTTCCCACTTACAGGGCATAGGCGGCATAGCAGAATGACCCCTGGAGTTGGAGTGGGGAAGTCACTTCAAATTCTGCCTCATAGCTTGCTAGCTATGCGACTCTGAGAAAATCATTTTAACTTCTCTCAATCTCAGGTTCCTTAATTTATAAAATGTATAATAATACGTACCTTGCAGGGTTGTTGTAAGGATCAGGCAAGACAACATCCATAAAGTGCTTTTCAAATCTTAAAGTGCTATATAGATACTGGATATTATTACTATCATATGATCTCAAAAACAAAAGATTTCATTAGCCTTGCAAATGGACTGATCTTGGATTTCAGTATTGCTGTTGAACTTCAACATTGTCTAGCCTAAAAACAAGGACCATCTGTGTTATAGACCCAGTATCTAAGACAAGGATGGAAGGAGTTTTAAAGGTCAGGGATCGAGGGGAGGATGTGTCTCCTTGATTTGGATGGAATGAATAACAATTTCTAAGATGAAATTGTTCATGTCAAGTTATGTGATTGTCACCTCTCCTTGCTCTATATTTTTTCATTGCCTAGAAAGCATAGACAGGGAAATAGTCAGGCTTTGAATTACTTCCAATAGTTACTCAAATTCTTTTATTTTCTTTTTTCTCTCTTCTTTAAATTTATTTATTTATTTTTAGTTTTCAACATTCACTTCCACATGATTTTGAGTTCCAAATTTTCTCCCCATCTCACCCCTCCCCCAACCCCAAGACAGCATGCATTCTGAATAGCCCTTCCCTCAATCTTCTGCCCCTTCTATCACCACCCCCATCCCTTCTCTTATACCCTTTCCCTTCTATTTTTTTGTAGGGCAGGATAGATTTCTATACTCCATTGCCCGTATTTCTTATTTCCCTAGTTGCATGGAAAAACAACTTTTAACATCTGTTTTGAAAACTTGGGGTTCCAAATTCTCTCCCTTCTTACCTCCCCACCCATCCTCATTGAGAAGGCAAGAAACTTGATACAGGTTATACATATGTAGTCATGCAAAACACTTTCATAATAGTCACATTGTGAAAAATTAACTATTATTTCCCTTCATGCTATCCCACCCCCCCTCATTTATTTTATTCTCTCCTTTGACCCTGTCCCTCTTCAAAAGTGTTTGCTTCTGATTACCCCCTCCCCAATCTGCCTTCCCTTCTATCATCCTCCCTCTTATCCCCATCCTCCCTATTTTCCTGAAGGATAAGACAGATTTCCAAACCCAATTGAGTGTGTATGTTATTCCCTCCTTAAGCCAAATCTGAGAGTAAGATTCACTCATTCTTCTCACCTTCCCCCACTTCCCCTCCACTATAAAAGCTTTTTCTTCTCTGTTTTATGTGAGATAATTGATCCCATTCTACCTCTCCCTTTCTCCTTCTCCCAGTATAATCCTCTCTCACCCCTTAGTTTTATTTTTTAGAAATCATCCCTTCATCTTCAACTCACTCTGTGCCCTCTGTCTACATATACATATACATATACATATATATATATACACACACATACATACATACATACATACATACACACACACACACACACATATAATATATGTATTTTCCCTCCAACTACCCTAATACTGAGAAAGGTCTCATGAGTTACAAATATCATCTTTCCATAAAAGAATGTAAACAGTTCAATTTTAATAAGTCCCTTATGATTTTTCTTTCCTGTTTACCTTTTCATGTTTCTCTTGAGTCTTGTATTTGAAAGGCAGATTTTCTATTTAGCTCTGGTCTTTGCATCAAGAATGCTTGAAAATCCTTTATTTCACTGAATATCTATTTTTTCCCCTGAAGGATTATACTCACTTTTGCTGGGCAAGGGATTCTTGATTGTAATCCAAGTTCTTTTAACATCCAGAATATCATATTCCAAGCCCTGTGGTCCCTTAATGTAGAAGCTGCTAAATCCTGTATTATCCTGATTGTGTTTCCACAATACTTGAATTGTTTTTTTCTGGCTGTTTGCAATATTTTCTCCTTCACCTGGGAACTCTGGAGTTTGGCTATAATATTCCTAGGAGTTTTCCTTTGGGGATCTCTTTCAGGAAGTGATCAGTGGATTCTTTCCATTTCTATTTTACCCTCTGGTTCTAGAATATCAGGGCAGTTTTCCTTGATAATTTCTTGAAAGATGATGTCTAGGCACTTTTTTTGATCATGGTTTTCAAGTAGTTCAATAATTTTTAAATTATCTCTCCTGGATCTATTTTCCAGGTCAGTTGTTTTTCCAGTGAGATATTTTACATTGTCTTCTATTTTTTCATTCTTTTGGTTTTGTTTTATAATTTCTTGATTTCTCATTAAGTCATAAGCTTCCATTTACTCCATTCTAATTTTTAAGGAATTATTTTCTTCAGTAAGCTTTTGGACTTCCTTTTCCATTTGGTTAATTCTGTTTTTTAAGGCATTCTTCTCCTTATTGACTTGTTGGACCTCTTTTGCCATTTGAGTTACTCTATTTTTTAAGGTGTTATTTTCTTCAGTATTTTTTGGGTCTCCTTTAGCAAGCTGTTGACTTGTTTTTCATGATTTTCTTGCATCACTCTCATTTCTCTTCCCAGGTTTTCCTCTACTTCTCTTGCCTCTCAAAATCCTTTTTCAGCTCTTCCATGGCCTGGGACTGATTCATATTTCTCTTGGAGGCTTTAGATGTAGGAGATTTGACTTTGTTGTCTTCTTCTGGTTGTATATTTTTATCTTCTTTATCACCAAAGTAAGATTCCATGGTCTGAGGTTTTTTTTTTTTTTTCGCTGTTTGCTTATGTTCCCAGTCAATTACTTGACTTTTAAATTCTTTGTTAAGGTAGGGGTCTGCTTCCAGTGTGGAGGATGTACTATCCCAAGCTTCAGGGGTTTTGTGCAGCTGTTTTCAGAGGTACTTCTAGGACCTGTACATTTTCAGTTCTTCCAAGATGGTATGATCAAAGGAGAGGTGTTTACTCCTTTTCTAGCTCTGGTCTATGAGTGACCACAAGCACTCTTTTCTGCCTTGGAACTGTGAGGAGGATTCCCTCTCCACTGTCACCACAAGCTCCACCTCACTAATGCTCCTACTCACCCCAGGACCACCACCCAGGACTGCGACCCAGATCCAAGCATGGGCAAAGCAAGAGAATCCTGCCTCAGCACCAGCAAAGAGATCTCTGCAACCTCCCTCTGATCAGCCACTAGATCCCCCCACTGTCTGTGGGCCAAGAGCTCTGCAAGCAGCACTGTCTTGGGGCTGTACCAGGATTGGGGCTGTACCATGCTCCTCTCTCAACTAAGGTCAAACAGACCTTTCCTACTGACCTAAGCTATCTTTGGTGTTTGTGGGTTGAGAAGTCTGGAAACCACTCCAACTGCCTGTGATTCAGTCCCCTGAGCCTTGATCCAGATTTGCTGAGGTCTGGTCTTTGCCTGCATGGCCCATGCTGAACTGCGCTCCTCTCCCAGCCTGGGGCAACAGACCTTTCCCATCAACTATCCAGGTTGTCTTGGGCTGGAAATTTACTTCACTCTGTCTTTTTGTGGGTTCTGCTGCTCTAGAATTTGTTTTGAGTCATTTTTACAGATATTTGGAGGGGTTTGGGAGAAAGCTCAAGCAAGTCCCTACTTTTACTCTGCCATCTTGGCTCTGCCCCTCAAATTCTTTTATTTTCTTCTATCTCTCTCATTACCTGATCAAATACATAACCTTGTCTAATGACATAATATTTTAGTTCTATAGGGGACCTTTGATCTTCTAGTTCAATCCTCTAATTTTATAGATAAACTGAAGTCTACAGACCCTAAGTGACTTACCCAAGAGCATACAGGTAATTTCAAAAGAACTATATTATGCCCTGTAAAATACATTATTTATCATGGTGACTAAATTAGGGGAGATTCAGGGTGCAGAAAGTTTGAAGTTGAAGTATCACTAATCTATATGCTCTATAATTCATAATTAAGACTGCAAATCTAAAATATACTAAGTTACATCTTTTCAGATCCTCGTTGGGCTTTGGTTTCCTCATCTGTAAAATAATGGGATTGGATTAGTACCTCTATGGCCCCTTTCCATACTACATCTGTGATTTATGACTCATGACAAGTCATTGTCCAACATTACTAGTTATCTAGTCTCTGTTTTGAAGTAGCCAAAATATGTCACAAAGTCCATGAAATAAATGTCAAATATTTTACTCATGGAAGAGGTCTTTACCTTGATACTATTTTAGACAGAATTCTAACAAGATTGGTCATCTAGTTTCCTATTTTATGGCATATTAGAATCAGCCATTTAGAAGAGGAATAGATGAGGTGGTAGTGCTGGTGGTGGAAGCGCAAGGGGAATTTATAGAGCCCAAGTATCCTGACTGTAGCAAAAAGTGACATGACAGTAAGGGACATATGGTAAGGAAAAAATTTGCCAGGTCTTTTGTCATGCAGACTATGCTAGTTATTTTCCTTAAAAGTCACTGAAACAGTGCTTGTTTCAGCAGCACTTACGCTAAAATTGCAAAGATACAGAGATTAGTAAGTATGTTCCCAGCACAAAGATGATATGCAAATTCATGGCATTCCAAATTTTAAACAATTGATCCAAAATGGCAGCCCTTGTTCATATGGATAAACTTGGGATATTGGTGTCTAATGCATAGCACTGCACAACTAACTTAGGGTGCCAAAATTGAGCTTTCTAATTCTTACCGTTGATGCAAACATAGTAAAGGTATCTTGAAGAGGAAAAAAAAGGCATTGAAACAATCATTTCCTCCAAACCTAATCGGTTCAGAGTATTAAAGCTTCTGGTTTCCTGAGTATAAATGGGCCAGGGTACAATGAGCTCCCTGAGGTTTCTGAATAGCAGTCCAGCATGACCATCACTGACACAGGAAAGCTGCACTCAGATGAATCAACACTGTATTCTAGAAGAATATCCTTCTCCCTTTAAGGCTAAATATCCTTTTGTTAACTGTGAGATGTAAAATGTGTTTCATTTTGTTCTACTCTTAACCTGAGTTTCTAGCCTGATCAGGTCTGCCTGTAACAGAAGAAACTAGAAAACTATAAAAAACTGAGAGAACTCAAAAAATATAATCATGTGGAATATTTAGGGTAGGAGCAAACAGCTTCAATAACTTCTGAAAATATCACAATATTACTGGTCAGTGTAGCAATTATTATTCATAATTATGACTTATAGACATTAAGAAAGACATTAAGAAAAATGCATTATGTACAATGTTTTATATTTCAAAATTTAGCATGTGTTAGACAATTCCCATCAAAAATGATTAAAATTCTTTTTTTTTTTTGAGATTGATACTTAAAAGGATTAGCTTCAGTTAGATGGCAAATCTGTAGTACCTCATCTTCTGACAATGCTGCATAAAGTGTTACCACATTATCTTTTATAAATTCACTATGCATCTGCCCTCAAGTGGAAAGATTAGACATTTCTCTGATAAAGAATGTCTTACTGGAAGAAGAGAGATATGAAATAAACCCCTTGGGCAATAGGTATTAGGAAGTAAAAAGACAAAGGTTGCATAACTGCTCTGAAAGAAATACTATTTCCTTTGAAATACATGCCCTGAAGAGTTTTACTGTTTTTTCTCTCTTTTTAAAAGAAAATAGTTACAAAACTAAAGATGGGAAGACAAAAGACAATTCATGTAGCTTTAAACTAGCAACCTCATCTTTTCATCTCTCCCTCTGTCATACTCCTAATTCTATTCTTTAAATTTATCTTAACCTACTATCACTCTTTTCCTTCCTGCTTTTCCAATTTGTCACCCCTGCAGTGGCCTCACCTCCCAATTACCTGACAGTCTTAACAGTTTCAGCATAGCACTGGCCTCTGTCTTAAAAATCCTTGTCCACTTTTATGTCCAATGATGCCAAAATCAATCCTTAGTTACCCTTATCATCAGCCACATCAGCTCCTACTTGCATACTGCTGAGTGAAGCTATAGGAAATCACAATACTGTACAGTACTGTACTGACTGAGGTCCCCTACGTATTTATGTCTGTTGTCTAGTCTCAACTAGGTCCTTGCTACTCCCACTAATTCTTTTACTTTTTCCTGACTTATTAAAGCCTAATTACAGTAGACTGATAAGTGAGTGGAAGATGAAATGAACTGAAGTATATGACTTTTTCTAGGAACTTAGCTATGTAAAGGAAGAGAAATAAAGGAGTCTCTCAGAAATAGATGACCTTTACTGTTGCCAAGGTCAACTCTTCTTAATTGTGCTCTCAATTGTATCATCTCCCACCTGAAAGGTGTTTATCCTTTGGATAATCTTTTCATCTGTGTAATTTAAGCACCAGGACACCTTGGGGAAATAGTAAGCATCAAGTGCCAGGCAATTCAAATCACCACCATTAATTTGACACTATTTCTCCTCAGACCCTTTTGGAGACAGCTCAGGACCTTGAACCAAAGAGCCTCGGGAAGAGCAGTGTTCCCAGCTCACTACTTGGAGCCCTCATTCTCAGAAGCAACACCTGTGAAGATGCAACCTGGTAACTGGTCCTGCAGCTGCATTGTCAACACACTTTGAAGACCTAAAAAAGAAAGCTCTTGACACTAAAATCCTTAGTACTATTAAATAATTGAACATCAAATGTTATTTTTCAGTTGTTATTTGTCAGAGGACCAATGACATCAGGAGGGTGATGTCACAACTTGCAAGTGAATTGGATTTAAGTGAGGCAGGGCTGTTCGAAGTCATCAGTCTCACTCTGTCCTCCAGAGTCATTTGGAGTCCATTGGCAAGATACATGTCAGGACTGACTGGAGATGGCTCCAGGTACAGCAGGAGACTTTGGCCTTTTTAAGCTAAGGTCTTTCCCAGGTTGTCTGAGGTAACACCCTTAAATTGATTTAAGGCTAGGTAAGAAGGCAAAAGATGGCCTAGTTTGCCTACTCAAAAAAAAAAAAATCAATCTGGGAGAAAAAGGCCCTCAGAGTTTCTGGTTAGAACAGAAACAATTGTTATTTCCACTCACTCAGTGCCATCAAAAACCCAAACAATGACCAACTGAGGCTTGGGTTGGGGCCTATTATTGGCCAATCAGAAAAAGGCAGAGTGATTTGGGTTTAAGGCATAGTCAAGTAGTTCCATTTGAATCCAATGCGCTTTCTCAAAGCCTGATTTTCCAGAACCCTATTTCAAGAAATCATAAATGAAGCTACATGGGGCAAAAGAATTAATTGTCCTAGTTTTTTTGAAGAAAAAAAAAGATAGAAAAAATAAGTAGGAAAGACAAAAGCAATCTAGCTCCAAACCCTAAGATATCTTGCAAGGCTTAAGTGATCAAAATTTATATTTCTTTAGACAGAGTATTCACATGTAAAGGAATGATTCACCATGTGGACAGAGGGAGGGGAGAGAAGGAGAGAGGGAAGAAGAGAGGAAGGAAGGAAGGAAGGAAGCAAGGAAGGAAGGAAGGAGTATTGTTCAATTAGAATTGGCCAGTTGGGTCCCCAGTGGGGCAGCTACTGCTACCCACAGATTGTTTGTCCTTCATTTTTAAAGAGGACCAGTGACATCAGGAGGGTGATGTCTTGACTAGCAAGTGAATTGGATTTAGTGGAGCAGAAGAGCGCAAAGTCATCAGCCTCACTCTCTGCTTCATAGTTATTCCAAGCCCAATGGCGAGACATAGATCAGGATGACTGGAGATGGCCCTGGATGCAATGGGAGACTTTAGCCTTTTTTCAATTTTATCAGTAGAAATGACATTAAAGAAGAGGCATTACTATTTGCTTTGCCACTGCAACCTGAGGCCCATGGAACCTTTCCATATGACTTTCAGCTGAAACCTTTCATATGTGTTATTTCCCCCATTAGAATGTGAACTCCTTGAGAGTATGGACCATCTTACTTTTCTATTTGTATTTCCAGTGCTTATCACAGTGTTTTATAAGTGTCAGTAAGTGCTCCATTCGTTCATTCTTAACTTTTTATCCAGTGTCTTCTTCAATACTACTTACAAATATGTTACAATCTCTGACTCTTACATTCTCTTAAGCTATCTCTCTTTCTTTTCATAGCCAAATTCCTAGGAAAATCTTGTTCCTTCACTTTATTTCCCACTCATTTCTTAACCTGTTGGTTCCCAAATCCAATGAAAACCCAAGAGAAAGAAGAGGAAAGCCCTGTAACAAATAACCCTAGTCATGATCAAAACAAATCCATGTTGTGGCCCTGTCCAAAAATTTATGTCTCTTTCTGTACTCTGGAGGAGCTAGATAACTCAGTGGTGCTGGGCCTGGAATAAGGAAGACCTATGTTCAAATCCAGTCTCAGACAGTTATTAGCTGTGTAATCCTGGGTAAATCACTTAACTTCTGTTGGTCTCTTTCCAACTATAAAATAGGGAAAATAATAGCACCTAGCTCCAGGATTGTGTCAGTATCAAATAAGATAGTATTTGTAAAGTGCTTAGCACAGCACCTGGCTCATATTAGGCATTTAATAAATCCTTGTTTACTTTTTTTCTGTCAGAAGGTAGGTAACATTCTTTATCATATGTCCTCTGGAGACATGATTGGTTATTGCTTTAACTAGAATTCTTAAGTCTTTTAAAATTTTTTCCTTACATTGTTGTTGTACATGTATGCCTGCTTCTGAATTAGCTCATACTACCCAGGATTCTCTGAAATCATCTCGTTTGTCATTTTTTTTTTTTTTTGCTTTTTGGTGAGGCAATCAGGGTTAAGTGACTTGCCCAGGGTCACACAGATATTAAGTGTCAAGTGTCTGAGGCCAGATTTGAACTCAGGTCCTCCTGACTCCAAGGACAGAGCTCTATTCACTGCCTCTTCTAGCTGTCCCTCTTTTGTCATTTCTTACAGCACAATAATACTGCAGTACTTTCAATTCTTCAGTTGATAAGTACCCTCTTAGATCCAAAGATTTGGTTTTTTTTTCCCCATTTTAATCCTCCTTTCAGGATCAGGAAGTTTGCTTGGGACTATTTTCTCCCTGGTGTTATCCTTCCTCTCTAGCCTCCTCCCTTTGTTTGGATGGATTTAGATTTTTTTTTTCTTTGTCCAGGCTAAAAAATGAATTAGAGTGTTTTATTTTATTTTATTTTATTTTTTGCCTCATTTGTGGTTCAATGACTGAACTCTAGTTAAGCATTTTGGGAGTTGCAGTTCACTCTTCCGGGAAAGACTGAGACATTATCACAGACCCTGAACGGCAAAGCTAAGTAAGTAGGAGGTTCTAAAAGACAAGAATCTGAGGAGTTGAGTTGCAGCAGGGAAGCCAATGGACTGTAATATTATTTGTGACTGAGACTAAGTATAGAGCAGGAATTCTTAACTTTTTTGTGTGTGTGCCAGTTCCATGTGAATGTGCCAGTTCTAGAAACTTCTGAGAATGTTTATTTTTTAATTTTTTTAAATTTTATTCCATAGTTTTTATTTTTTTAATTAATTTATTTTGATTTATCAACAATCACTTCCATAAGCTTTTGAGTTACAAATTTTTCTCCCCCTCCCTTCCCCCCCCTCTCAAGATGGCGCACAATCTGATGTAGGCTATACATAAACATTCCATATACATATACACA